GAGCTCAAGAGGGCCTTGCCTAACTACACAAGAATAAGGAGCGAAGCAGGGGCAGAGCCCTGATCTTTGACCCGAAAAGCCCAAAGTCGGCGTGTGGGCCCCCATGTTGCGCTCAGTGAGATGTGGGTCCCGGCTCGGCTCTGCCCTCGGATAGCATCACACCTGCCGCTTCCTCCGCCCCAGGACGGGGTCAGGAAACTTCATTCGCCATTTACCCCAAGACTCAACCTGTCTAGATGAAACTAGCCCAGTGCCTCCATTTCACAGATAAGGAAACTAAGGCCAAAGAGGGGACAAGTCAAAGGACACACTAGAGAGACAGGAGGCTGGAATAGGAGTTGAACATACCTGACTCCTCATCCGGCGCCCTGGCCAAGTAATTCCCAAGTCCCCAAGCCAGGCGGAACCAGAAAGACTGACTTCAAGATGGTGAACTTGATCACAGCACACGTGACAGCCTCCCCACTACTCCCCTGGACCCCTGCAATGACAGGGAATACGTATTTGTCTGTAAGGTGGTGTCCTGGGTGGGATCCTGGACCAGGAAAGGGGCATGAGGTAAAAACTTAGAGAATCTGACTACAGTATGAACTTCAGTTAATAATAATGTACCAATAGTGATTCACTAATTATAACAAATGCACCATACTATTATAAGATCTTAAAATAAAGGATGTTGGGTGTGGAAGCTATGTGAACTCTTGATGCTATCTTCCCAATATTTCTATAGATCATAAAGTTTATTTGTAAAACGAAGTTTATTCTTCAAAAATCTTTGTTAAAGCGGCGGCTCCCCAGCTTCGGTCACGTCGGCGGGACATGGGACTAGTAGCGCGCCACCCGCGGGAGTCCCCGGCCCCCAGGTCGTGCGGGGACGCCCCGGTGCGCTCGCTGCCCCCCCACCCCGCCTGGCTCGCCCGCGGCCGGTCGTCGGGGTTCACGCACGCCCCATCCGGCGGAGCGCCAGTTCTCCCCGAGGCCCAGACGCACTGGCGCGCCCGCCGCCCCTGCCTCCGGGGACGAGCCGGGGTTAGCGCCCACTTGGGGTGGGGGTGGAGGTCAGGAGGCTAGAGATTAAATGCTTGCCGACCGTGCCAGTAATCGGAAGGTGCTCGGAAAGCAATGCTCCCTTCCCCTACCCGGCCCTCTCACGCAACAACAACGCAGTGGGCGTTGGTGTGTCTGTGGCAACCTCAGGGAGGTGAGTCGGGCCCACCCCTACCTTCAGGAAAATCGAGGGACACAGGGACACAGACACGGAAGAGGCCCATTATGACTCAGGGTGAGACGTGCCATGACACAGGGAGGGGTGGTTAGGGTCCAGCAGGGGGGTCTTTTGCATTGGGCCTTGAAGGATGAGTAGGAGTCAACAGCTAGAAAAGGGGAAGGGCACTGGTGGTGGAGCAGACAGCAGATGCAAAGGCTCAGAAGCTTGGAAGAACTCTGACTTTTTTTTAAATAACAGAGTCCAGGGTTTGGGGGAGTGGGGGCACAGGGCTCCTTATTTTCACTTTTTCAAGGATTCCTCTCACTCCTTCCGAGCTTTGTAGGAGTGGCCGAGTCACCTCTGTAGAGCCTGGCCTGTGCTGGGAGCTGCCTGGGTAGCAGAATGGCCTGGCAGCCAAAGGTACCACAAGGCAGGGAGGCAATAATGGTGAGTTTCTATCCAGTCTCCTGGAAGTCCATGGCCCAGGGGTGTGGTACACTTGGCAGGCCTCCCTTAGTCCAGGGCCAAACGCAGTCCCGGCCCAGGCTGGAAAGGAAAGCAACTGTGTGCGCGCATCCCGTGGCAGCCAGCCACCTGCCCAGCTCAGGTGTAGGAAAGTGGGTCAGCACGGAGGCTGGATTCCCAATCCAACAGGAAGACCCTCGGAGCCTAGCGTTGCCACCACCCCTCACAGCACCCGACAGGGTCACCTGGTCCAGCTTGCACAGCCTCAAAAACAGAGCTCATGTTCCCCAGAGCAACCTGTTCTATTCTCAGCCAAAGGGACCCTCCCACCAGCTGGCACTTTACAGATGAGTAAACTGAGGCTC